TTTTTCCTCTGAGAAGTATGTATTCACCTTGGATGCCCATTTTTGGATTGGGTGCTTAATTTTTTTTTTTTTTTTTTTTTTGTGGGACTGAGGATTGAACACAGGCCCTTGCACTTGCCAGGCAAGCACTATTCTACTGAGCCATCTCTCCGGCTCTGGGTCCTTAAATTTTGGGACCCTAATTTTTTTTTTTTTTTTTTTTTTAGTTCTTTATATATATTCTAGATAGACAACCTTTGTCTGAGTGATTATTGGTTAAGATTTTTTCCAAATTTTTAAGTTGTCTTTTCACTCTGTTGGTGATGTCTTTTGATGTGCAGAAACTTCTCAATAAGAGGAGGCCTTAGTTGTTGATTCTTTGAAGTATTTCCTGTGAAGTTTGATTTCTGTTCACGAATTGTCTGCCTACACCTGTGTCTTCAAGGTTTCCACCTATTTTCTCTTCCAGGTGATTTATTGTTTCTTGCTTTAATGTTTAGGTCTTTAATCCATTTGACTTTAGTTTTGTGTGTGGCGATATACCCAAGTCTAGTTTTAGTTTTTGGCATACAGAGAGCCAGTTTTTCCAGGACCATTTGTTAAAGAGGCTATCTTTCTTCCAGTGAACATGTTTGGCCCCTTTGTCAATGATAAGATGGCAGAGTGTGTTTAGTTGTATCAGCGTCTTTGGATCTGCTCTGTTGATTCTTGGGTCTATTTTTTTGTCAGTACCATGCTGATTTTATCACAGTAGCTTGTAGTATAATTTCAAGTCAGGGATTATAATGCCTCCTACCTTGCCTTTGCTATTCTAGGTTTATTCTGGTTCCAAATAAATTTTAGGATTTTTTTTTCTAGATCTGTGAGCTATGTTTGTGGTATTTTGATAGGGATTGCATTAAATGTGTATAACAATTGTCAGCAAATATTTTAAAATTGCATTAAGTTGTTAAAGACAAGTGATAGTTTATATTCTATTTTATATGAATTTCTTTGGTTATCAGTGACATTAAAATTTGGTTAACCATTTGGTTTCCTTTTTGAAAATTGCCTATTCAGATTGAGCATGGTAGTACACACCTGTCATCCCAGCATGTGGGAAGCTGTGGCAGGAGGTTTGCCACAAATTTGAGGCCAATCTGGGCTACATAGTAAGTTCAAGTTCAGCCTGAACTACATAGTGAGACCCTTTCTAAAAAAAAAAAAAAAGCGTACAGGTGTCTTTATCATTTATTTGACAACAGTTGTTCTTTGCTTTTCATTGTGCTTGAAATACTTTTGGTATATATATTAAGATAGTTTATGAAAAATATCAGTATTTTATGTGTCTTCCTTTATTATTTTTATGAGGTCTTTTTCTATTCTAAATCTGATAGATGTTCACCTAAACTTTTGTTTTGTTTTTTTGAAACTACTTTAACTCTCAATATGCAGTTTATTTTGTGGTATAATTGAAGTGAAATGTTGAATTTATTTTCACCCTAATATCTCATAATAATAATAGCTAAGTGTTCACTTGGTGCCCAACATTATGCTAAATAATTTTTATTTATTTATTAATTTAACCAGTAGTTCTACTGAATACATTTCTTACTGATTTGTGTTTACTTTTTTAAATATACTTTTTCATTGGTCCTATTGGTCCATCTGTTTTTTTTTTTTTTTTTTTTTTTTACTAGGGATTCAACCCAGAATCTTGCATAGAGCTATGCCCTCAACCCTTTAATTTTTTTTTTTTTTTGACAGACTCTCACTAAATCATTACACTGCCCAGGCTAGGCTTGAACTCGTAGTATTTCTGCCTGAGTTTCCCATAGCACTGGGATTGCAGGTGTGCACCACCAGGACATTACACTTGTCAATTCTTGAGTCAGTGGTCACCATCTGTTTCCTTTTTTTTTTTTTTTTCCCCCTAGTATCGGGATTTGAACTCAGGACCCTGAGCTTTCCAGGCAAGCACTTCTTCTACTGAGCTATCTCCTGGCCCTACCATTTTTTTTTTCTTCTTCATCATTTAGTTGGTAGGGCCCCACAGATTGAGAAACACCGTTTTACTACACAGATTCATTCAGTAGAAAAACTTCAATTTAATTGCACTTGGTTCTTTCCTAAAGGTAGGTGTGTGTGTGTGTGTGTGTGTGTGTGTGTGTGTGTGTTTAAGAAAAAGCCATATCAGGCTCCTTTAGGTCTGGATGGTGAGGCTTAGCGAACATAGCCAAAAAAGTAAATGGCAAAAACAAGAAGTTGAAGATTCCTTGGTGGGTAGAAAGAAGCCAGGAGAGACCAAGAGGATACAGAAGCTTCTGGTAGGACATTCTTGGCAGCAGATGGCTGAAATGCCTGCATGAATATAATATTTCTGGAGCTGGGGAGGTAGCTCAGCCACCTAAGGACCTGCCTGGCAAGTGCAAGGACCTGGGTTTGATCCCTGGTACCGTATCCTGTGCTGGCCCTGGAACTCCAGGCACACCATGCCAGCCACTGAAACTGGGCATGGTGGTCCACGCCTGTGATCCCAGTGCTGGGGAGGCTGAGGCAGTAAGGTCACTATGACTCCAAGCTGCGTAGCAAGACCCTGTACCAAATAAATAAGTAAATAGATAGACAGATAAATCAATCAATCACTAAAACCAGAATATAACTTTTCTGGCAGTACTTTATTTTCAGTTGCTTAGAGTATTAGCTGTCCCTCTGCCTTCTGTAAAAGCACAATCTTGAGGCTCCAGCCATTTGC